CAGGCCTTAGGGCAGGGATGGGGAACCTGACACCCTCCAGATGTTGTTGCTGCCCTTCCAGCATCCCAGACCACTGGGCTAGGGCTGGCGGCGTGGACTGGTGGGATGGAGTCCTTCGACAGCTGGAGGGCTACAGGCTCCTCTATTCTGCCTTATGGCCTTTCATGGCGTTCAGTGGGGCTTCCGCCATAGGGCTGCAACCATACTCCTGCATAACCAATAGCTTCATCAGGCCAGGCAAGAACCACAATATCCCAACATGACTGATTGACCCTCCTAACAGTAAACCCAACTTGTCTCTTAAGCTTTGCACTCTGTTCACAACAGCCAACAGGTGAGAGGAGCCACAGGTGAGAGCGGAGTGCAGGGTGGGGACCAAAGGTGGATAAACAACCCCGAAAGGAACATGACACGTCCCCCACCAGAGGTACCCCCCATACACCCCACACATCCTGCTATGTATATACCATGAATTAAATCATATGACTTCTCCCCAAATCCTGGGCAAGACAGTTTGTGAAATGTGTTGGGACTTGTAGCTCCATGAGGAGCAAATGAGATCTCCTAGGATTTGGGGGCGAAGCCATGTGCTTTAAATGCATGGTCTTCAGTTGCGCCCAACATCATCTGCCTGAGGCGGTGGCTGTGGACCCCGTCCGGCTGCAGGACCCTGTGCCCTCACTGCAACTGGCCTGATAGGGAGGGATGCAGCTCCGCCCCGCCTAAGCGGGGGTGCTATTGGAGTATCACATTCAGGTGCGCCCTTGGGAACCTGTGCCCCTCTAGACTGGGGCAGGGGGGAAATCTCTGGGTCGCTCTTCTGCCCCCTGCCCTCTCCCCTTATCCCACGACCTCCCCCCCCCCCGGGATGCCGAAACCTGCCGTGGCCGCCAGTGGCCGGCCAGGGGCCCGAGCGGCGTCTTCCTCCTGGGGGCCACAGAGATGCCGCCCCCTGCAATCGGGCGAGGCGAGGAAGGCGGGCCCAAGGAGGCCGCCCGAGGCGGAGAGAGGCGCGCCCGCCGGCCGCGGCGCAGTCGGCGCTTGGCGGGCCGAGGCGGCGCTTCCCTCTCGCTCCGGCTTTGTTCCGCGCGCGAGAGCGGCCAGGCCGGCGCTGCTCCGCGATGCCTCCCGGGCGCCGCTCCAGGAAGCAGCCGCGGCGGGAGCGCGGCGCCCACCACTAGAGCGCGGCGGCGGCGGCGGCGGCGGAGGGCGGAGAGCGGCGGGCTCGGGGCGCGCAGGTAAGCGCTGCCTTTCGGCTTCGGGGCCGCGCGGGAAGCGGGAGGCAAGGCGGCGGCGGCGGGGAGGAAGGACTGCGGAGCGGAGCCTGGGCGGACCGGCTCTTGCCCTCGGTCGGGGAGAAGGAGTTGCGGAAGCAACAACAAAGGCGGGCGTCTCCCGGGAGCCGCGGCCAGGCAGGGCCCCTTCTGGGGAGGGGACCCACTGGGACGCGGAGTTTGGACCTTCGGACTTCGGCCGCCCCCGGTTCCCTGCAGGTCTGCCTGCGCGGTCGCCATCCCTTCAGGCATCCAAGCAAACCTTCTCTCCTCAGTCTTATTAACGTGGAGTTGGTGGGAAGACAGGCTTCCGCGCCCCACCTTGAGCTCTTTGCAGGGAAGGCGGGAATAGAAATGCAACAGAAGTTATTCACGGGTTGTTTCTTCCATGAGAATCTAAGAACTACCCTATTATCGCTTCACGAGCTAAAGCTGTGTTAGATAGAACTAAGTATGAGTATTTGCCATAGTTTTGTTCACAATAATATCCATTTGGGAAAGTGTCAGTGGGGTGCCAGAGTTTGCATTTTGCCAGTAAGTCGCCTCATATGGTTGTATTTTGTCTTCAGAGCAGTCACTGCTGAAAGTTACCTGTCTTGCAAAAATAATGTGCTACCAAATGGCAGCGGCACAGATGTTGCTCGATATCAGGATCAGCATATTCAGTGGTAACTGAGTAATCTTGACAACATGAAGCAGAAATTCAGAAATCCGCCTTTCCAACAAATGGTCTTTCACCGTCCTTTCACACAACAGTTCAAAGAACTTTTGTTCTTTTTGCACAAACAAAAACAGCTTAGAGTGACATCGCTCAAACTTCTCTGTTTCTCCAGCAGAAAAGTAATTGACAAATTTGGGCGAAGCAAACTTCAAATCACCCTTGACTTAACTATTAATTAACCGCTATTAATTAACCACAGTGACAGATCTGGCAAAAGTCCAGGGAATTGTTTTCCTTGACTATTAGCGTTTGCCTCGGATGTGCAGGCTGCTTAAAACAGCTCCATATAGGAGCTGCACCTTGTGGTGAACCCTCACCGGATCTGCAGCCAGAGAGCGGTTTGCAAGTGTTAGCCTAGAGCAGGCATGTCCAAAGTCCATTTTGGGGACCTAATCCGGCCCACTGGTCGGTTTAATCTGGCCCTTGTGGCAGTTTAACAACTTCACACATCTCAGTGTGTGAAACAAAATACCTCCTGAGATGTGTGCAAACCTGGTGGCCACCTACAAGGAACAGTCGACCTCTGTAATTGCCAACAAGGGTTTTGCCACCATGTACTAAGTCATCTTTTGCAAAGGGATCAAATACTTGTTTCACTCATTATAATGCACATCAATCTCTGACTTTTGTCTTCTGGGTTTCTGGGGGTTTTCCTGTTGTTATTCTGTCTCTCACAGCTACAATAAACCTACCATTAAAATTTAGCAGGGGATCAAATACTTCCCCCCCCCCCACTGTACATCAGGAACAAAGGGACAGGGAGGGGGTAAAGATCTACATTGGGATCTACTGCCCCTGTGAATCCTCTCGCCTGAGGCAGTTGCCTCACCTTGCCTCCTGGGTGGGCTTCTCCTGCCTGACTTGGTGGAAAGGTGCTCCTGAATTACTCCAAATGACTCCGTTTGAGGAGGGACGGTGGTTGTCAGTGTGTCCATGTGCAGCATTTTCTCTTTACTTGGAGTTGCATCTTTCTAATGGGGGGCAGGGAGTTGCAGGAAGGGCATGGAAATTTGAGATTACTGTATTTGAAAAATGCTGCATTTGGAGAAGGAGTCTGAACTTGTTTAAGAGCAGGAGGCAGTGTTTAAAGAATGGGCTGGGTTTGTCCAGCCCATAAAGGAGGGAGGCATTGTGATCACACATAACCAGAGCTGGCTTCTTCCCAGTTGGCTGGAATTCTAACAATTTCAGCATTTCTTTGGGGCAAGGAGAAGGTTTCTAGCCTTCCGGATTGGGAGGCAGCGTTTGAATCAAACTGCTTCTTGGCTAGGAGTCCTGGGTTCCTACCTGTGCTCCTAATTCTTCCAGTCATGAGGCCCTGGAGATGGATCCCAGAAATCCTGTTTCTCAACTTCTCAATGGTCTTCTCAGGGGAACAAGGAACAATTTGTTTCTTGTGAATCATGAGGAGGAATGGGGAGGGCTGAAGGATATTGATGGAACTTGCGACTGGACTCATAGGTGTCTGCTGTGTATTGTTTTAAAAAGTTGTGCTTCAATACCAGAGAGAAATTGTGAGGTACATGATTGTCTTTATATAGTAAGTGTAAAATGGAGTTGGGGTGTAACCTCAGCATTCTTGGAAGAGCGTGCGCCTCTTTCTCCTATTGCCATATCTGAGCACAAACCCCACAAGTGCACTTTAGCACAGCTGTTTGGCCCACTATGGGGAAGTGCTTGGTTTGGTTAATAGCGTGGGGTACTTGAGCAACCAATGCCTCCAGGTCAGCAGCAGCAGCAAACAATTCCAAGTTTCTGTGGGAAAGCTGCCTGCATACTCCAATGGGATGGGCCACGGCTGGCCATGCTGGCCCCTAGGGGTCTTTCCAAGAGCAATGGGGGGTGTCTGTTTTTTCTCTCCATTCAGTGTGGCAGGGTGAGTGACAGACAGAGCTGACACTATGGGGGTGCAGCCAGCCAGCAACTTCTCCTGAACAAACCCTGGCAATGTGAGTGTGAGCCCTGCAAAAGCTCAGTAGTCCTGGTCTCATGGATATTTTTTTCTAAACTAGTTTTTATTTTGGGGTTTTGTGTTACAAAGCAAACAGATAAACATGGAATGTCTCTCCACTTTCAATTCATAGTTTTTCACAGTTCATTTACATTTGGTGAGAGACATTTTTGTCATAGCCATCTTGCAATTGAGGGAAAGGAGAGGTGGAGAGAGAGATTGTTTTTTCCTTCTATTGCCTATTAGTGTGTTGTGTCAGCATCACATGGGTAGGTCCTTTGTGTTTTTATTTTTTCTTTATTGATATTGCAAGAGGTTAGGGGTTTCTGAGCTTGGTTATTCATGTTTAGTAGATTGTGGAGTAGCTCATTTGTGTGAGGGAGGCCGGCTGGGTTGTTGGGTCACATTAGCCATATGGATTCATATGCTGTTGGAGGGGATAGGTCATTGCTGGTCTCATGTATTTCAGCAAGGCTTTGTGAGAGAGATATTCCAAGTGGACTGTCCCATCCTAATTCGGGATGGTGGAGTGACCTTTTGGATCTTACAACTCAGGGACCAGAATACCTTGAGCTGGCCTCAGATTTGATGCACTGATAGAGGTGATGTTGTTGGCACACTTTACTTTGGCCCCAGATTTCACCACCCTGAACAGGAGGCTTATCCTGAGAGCCAGGGAGCAGCTGTGCAGCCTTATTGTTGAGTCTCCTAGTCTTGTTTGTGAGCACCTCCACCCTTGAGGCTAAGCTGCAAGGTCAGATGTTGCCCAACTGAAAGCAAGGCCAGACAAAAGCCAGGGAAGCATTATTTACCTGTCAGCACTGAGGCTGCCCCACCCCCACCCCACTCTTTCACTTCCCTGCATTTCAAAGGGATGTGGTAACTATCCCTCCTGCAATTGTTCCTCTCCTCAGCTGAGCTGCTGGCTTATGCAGCCCCTGGGATCCTTTTCAATCCTCTGGGCACAAAACAAAGACACCACGTAGGATGCATGCTTTCATACAGAGGGAACCAGGGCCCATATGAGCAGCCAAAGTATCTGGAAGTGAAGTCTGTCTTGCCATCGATGGATAAAGTGAGATGTTTTTATCTGTGGATGAAGATAGACCATAGTTTGTTATTGAAAGAAAGTTGAAAGTGGTTTGAGAAAGGGTTGGTTCCCTGTTCTTTCTTCTGAGTAACCATGGTTAGGATTGCATTATAAGGCACTGGTGATTAAGGCTGCAGTCCCATACAACTTCACCTGGGAAGGATCCAGGTGGATTTCTTCCTTCTGTGAAGGATCACAGAATCATAGAGTTGGAAGAGACCACAACGGCCATCGAGTCCAACCCCCATCGAGGATGACACTGTAAAACCCAAAAGATAAGCTTTGCAAGATCTCAGGTCCTAACGAACAAAGTAAACTTTGCACAATGTCAGGTGGTATTAAAATGGACAAAAGAGAGGAAATGGACCTGCCTCTGTCCTTTGAACACCTTAAAATATAAAATAGAATCATAGGATTACAGAGTTGGAAGGGACCCCAAGAGTCATTTAGTCCACCCTCCTGCAATGCAAGAATCTCTGCTAAAGCATCCATGACAGATGGCCCTCCAACCTCTGCTTAAAAACCTCCAAGGAAAGAGAGTTCACAACCTTCCATGGGAGACCATTCCACTGTTGAACAGCTCCTACTGTCAGAAGGTTTTTCCTGATGTTTAATCGGAATCTTTTTTCCTGTAACTTGAAGCTATTGGTTCGAGTCCTGCCTGCCAGAGCAGGAGAAAACAAATTTGCTCCATCTTCCATGTGATAGCCCTTGAGGTATTTGAAGATGGCTGTCATATCTCCTCCCAGTCTCTTCTTTTCCAGGCTAAACATGCCCAGCTCCTTCTACCGTTCCTCAAAAGGCTTGGTTTCTAGACCAATGATCATCTTGGTTGCCCTCTGTCAATATCCTTATATTGTGGTGCCCAGAATAGTACACAGTATTCCAGGTGTGGTCTGACCAAGGCAGAAGAGTGGGATCTTAACACTAGACTTCTGTTGATGCAGCCTAGAATAGTATTAGCTGTTTTTTGCTGCTGAATAGCACTGTTCACTCAGGTTAATCTTTGTGGTCCACCAAGACCCCTAGATCTCTTTCACATATACTGCTAGTAAGCCAGGTGTTCCTCATCTTATATAGTGGTATCTCGGGTTACAGAAGCTTCAGGTTACAGACGCTTCAGGTTACAGACTCTGCTAACCCAGAAATAGTACCTCGGGTTAAGAACTTTGCTTCAGGATGAGTACAGAAATTGCACAGTGGCGGCAGTGGGAGGCCCCATTAGCTAAAGTGGTACCTCAGGTTAAGAACAGTTTCAGGTTAAGAACAGACCTCCAGAACGAATTAAGTTTTTAACCCGAGGTACCACTGTATTTATGCATCTGGTTCTTCCTGCCTAAGTGCAGAACCTTACATTTGCCCCTACTGAAATTCATTTTGTTAGCCTGAGCCCAGTTCTCTAATCTGTTAAGGTCATTTTGAATTCTGATTCTGTCTTCTGCAGCATTAGCCACCCCTCCCAGATTGGTGTCATCTGCAGAGTTGATCAATTCCTTCATCCAAGTCATTTATAAAGATGTTGAAGAACAACAGGCCCAGGACAGAACCCTATGGCACCCCACTTGTCATTTTTTTCCAGGATGACAAGGAACCATTAATGAGTACTCTTTGGGTTTGGTCAGCTACAAATTCACCTAACCGTTACCTCTTTCAACCCACATTTTACCAGCTTCCTCACAAGAATATCATGGCGGACTTCGTCAAAAGCCTTACTGAAATCAAGGTACACTATGTCCACAGCATTCCTCTGATCCACCCAGCTGGTAACTCCATCAAAAAAAGAAATGAGATTCATTTGACATAGCCACTTCCGGCCTGCCCAGGAGGTGGGGTTGCGGGCTTCACGCCCACCCCCATGTGAGCGGGGGCTGGTTCAGCCCCAGCGAGAACAGGGGAATCCCAGCGCGTCTTCCCCTCAGTCAGCCAATCGGCTGGCTGGGGGGGCGTGGCCTGCCCTATTTAGGGCCGGCGCAGAGGGGGCTCGCCCTCTTTTCGCCGGCTAGCCCCCACGTTTTCCCACCCTTCCTCCCTTTAGGTAGGCTTTAGGTAGGTCTCTGACTTTGCTATGGACTTCGGTCTGTCGCCGCAAGGGGCATGGTAGGAATTTTCCCCAATTGGCAATTTACAGCCATTTGGTTTTTCGCCTACCTCGTAGCAACTCGTCACAACTCCTCGGCATTGGCGGTTAGGCATTGGTAAGAAGGGGATTAGAGGATGTGGGGGGGGGGAGGAACGCCATCACCTCCCCCCAGAGAATGAAGGGTGGTCCGATAAAGGACTCCGGGGGGCGTGGCCCTGTCCGAAGCCTATGGAGGTGTGGGCCAAAGGCACGCCCCAGAGCGGTGACCGGGGGAGCTCCTAGTTGACGTGCCTCAGCAGGAGACTCCCCCTCTATGGTGTTAACCCTTCCCGTGTCTCCAGCAAATGGGCTGGAGCCGGATAGTCGATAGGACCAATGCCTAAGCCAATGCCTCTCATTCCTGAATTCAATAAAGTTGTGGCCTAATTTGCCCATGTAACCTTAAATTATGGTGTCTCGTGTCTTTATTTATCCTGGTGGGGGGCGGGAACTCGCCACGCAAGACTTGTTTTTTGGAAACCCATGCTGGTCTTAGTAATATTGAATTATCTGTTCTAGGACCTTTCCTGGTATCAATGTCAAGCTCACTGGTCAGTAGTTACTTGGGTCTTCCCTTTCCCCCTTTTTGAAGATGGGGACAACATTTGCCCACCTCCAGTCAGCAGGGACCTCACCTGTTCTCAAAGAATTTTCAAAGATCTTAGACAAAGGCTCTGAAATTACATCTGCAAACTCCTTTAAAATCCTTGGATACAGTTCATCAGGTCCTGGAGATTTTAATTCATTTAAAGTAGCTAGGTGTTCCCTTTCTACCTCTTTTTCCTATTTTGGTCTGCAGCTCCCTCTTTCCATCATTTATTCTGTTACCACCCGGTTAGGCATTGCTTTCCTTTTGGGTGAAGACAGAAGCAAAGTAGGTGTTGAGTAGTTCCACCTTCTCTCTGTCACCCAAAAACATTTCTCCATTTTCTCCAAGCAGAGGACCTACCACTTGCTTGTTCTTCCTCTTAGCTAAAGAAACCGTTGTTGTTGTTCTTAGCCTCTTTTGCAAGCCTGATCTCATTCTGAGCTTTGTTGTGCTTGAATGACTGTGGATATCAGCTGATCTAGTTGCAATGATTTTCCTTAAGCACAGAGGTCTCAGCCACATCACACATTTAAAGCACTCTTATACCACTTGAGAATCCTGGGAGCTGTAGTTTGTTAAGGGTGCTGGGAACTGCAGCTCTATGAGGCCAGCACCCTTTAGAAGGTACAGTTCCCAGGATTCTCCATGACCGTTAACAGTGATATAACAGTACTTTAAATATGCTTTGAGAATGTGAACAGAGCTACCGTGGGGGGGGGGGCAGAAGAGGAAATAGGGACTTCTGAGAAAAACTGGGAGGTGGGTATTTGTTTTTTTGTGGTGTACATCCACTCCATAGTCATTGCGGGGGACTCAAGCATCTTTTTAGTGCTGTTTTTACTTGGCAGCTGTGGGGGATTCAGGCAGCATTTCTGCTGGTACCAATTTTTGTTTTGTGGGAAATCTCATCATCATCTCATATGTCACCACACTAGGAAACAGCAACTTCATTCGCAGCTGACATTTTCCGTTGCCAGTCTGAGTGTTGCATGAGCAGTGGCTGCAGGACCATCATGGGTGCCTTTCTTTTGGAGCATCTGTGAGTCAGAACAAGAGCTCTCCACCTGGAGGAAGCACTGTTCTAGGAGGTCCGAGGCCTCTACAAATTCTGAATCTCTCCTTGATGGAATCCCTTTTGATGGCATCGTACGCTAGATGTTCAAGGCGTCTGCTGGACACTTGTTTCTGGCAAGTGACGCGTAATAAGTATTTTCTGTTCTTGTGTCCTGGTGGTAGCAGAGAGAAGGGTGCAATCCATTCTCTGCAGTATAGGTGAGCTTTGCTTCCTGTGCTCAGTCAGTGGTACCATCAGGGCAGGGTAGGATTATGGGGGCAGAAGGCCAGGAATCCCTTCACCAGCTGAGCAGAAGGGATCAGACGAACCACACTTTGAAATAAGTGAAGCAAGACACATCTCAAGGGAGAGGACTGTAAGCCCATGAAGCGCAATGCCAAAATCACATCACTGTGTTCAGCATCAATAGCCACTCCTACACCTCCTACACCTGTCTGCATATGCAAATAATAGCGATACTTAGTATTTGCATTTCAAAGAGTCAGAGTCACATATGCTGTCTCTGTAAACAATAGCCCCACAAAGGGCAGCAGGACTTGCTGTAGGCTGTCTAATGAGTTCATGGCTGAAGTGACATTTGAACTAGGAACTTCAAGCTTACATTCTGAGCCATCTTCCACATTTTGTATTGGAAATTGTTCTTTTTCCTAAAGCATTGCATAAAATGATTGCCCACATTTCAGAACATTGTTTTACACTTGCAAAAATTGTAACAAACAAATATTTTGAGGAGTTGTGAAGAATTGCCAATGGGCTAGAAAATTAATCTCTTTAAGCCAGGGATGAAAGGGGCATATTATTATTATTATTATTATTATTATTATTATTATTACTGCTGCTGCTACTACTACTACTACTAGGTAAAAGGTACTACTACTACTACTATTACCAACATTACAACATTCCAGCTGTTTTCTACTCAGTCTTCACCAATACTTTATCAAGCCCTGACCAAGCCTTCACCTATGTCTTGAAGGTGCAAGACCCCTCAGTTAGCAGAAGCATATGCTGCAAAGTTTTGCATCTCAGATTACAAGTAAGGAATAGCATGTTTGAATACTTCCCCATATAAAAAGACTTCTGCATATAGAACACTTTCAGTATACCTAAAGTCCTGGATGGGGGTAGGCCAAGGCTTTGGAAACGGTGTAAGTGCAATTTATTCAGAACAAAAGGCTAAATTAATTGTAAATAACGTGGTGTCAGGGGTTCAGGAGCAGAGGCAAGGGCAAGGGAGGAAACAGAGAGCGAGGGGGAGGAGGCAGAAGAAAAGATGAGTGATGACGACGACCCGAGATCTCCGAGTCTTTCCAGTGAATCAGAAGATTCACAGAAAGGAGCACCAGTGGCCAGGGCAAGGGGGGAGCCTAGGGGGACACCCCAGGAAGATAGAGCCAGAGGGGACTCAGAGGGGAGCAGTTGGAAATCGGGACCAACGTCACCGCCAGAGAGCAGGGAAGAGGAAGGGCGCCAGGGATCAAGCGCTGGCAACTCACAACAGGGGGGAGGGCACGAGTCAGGAGTGGCCACACCTCCATCGGGGAGCGAAGAAACGGTCAGACGGAAGGTGGAAGGTTGGGCGCGCGCGCCAAGTTCAAATGCACAGGAAGGTGGCGCAGTAGGCAGCCCGGAAAGGGAGCCAGGTCCTAAAGCCCGCCGAAAGGAGGGAGAAGAGTCAGGGAGTCAGCGTCAGCGCCAGAGGAATCCCGGAAGGAAGAGACCCCGGGGGCAGAGGGACCCAGAGAAGAACAGTCAGGCGGAAAAGGTGGAGCAGGGCTAGGATATTAAGTTGGTGTACAAGGGGCGGAGACTCAGACGGAGCTTCGCCGGTCTAAGCATGAGACGTAGAGTTGCACGCAGCAGCTTGAGAATGGAAACTGTAACTCAATAAAGACTTTTGTTTAATGATCGCTGGCTAGCGTGATCCTCTGTGAGCTAGGATCTGGAAGCAGCTCTGACAGTAAGCTCCGTCTCCTAAATTGTGGGCATCTACGGCCTCGCGGAGAGGAGAGAAAGCGGGTGCCTACTAGCGAGCTCACGAACGGCAGACAATATGACGGCCGAACAGCAGATAGCGGAACTCAGAGAAGCAGTGTCACGACTGAATGCCGAGGCTCTTGCATCCAGGAAGAGAGAGGAGGACGCAGCTGCCGCCTACAGGGATCTCCAGGTCAGGTTGGAAGTGCTTACGAAGCTAAGGGCAACTGACACCCAAACCGGAGGGGATTGGGTTGGGGAGACGAACAGGCGGTCTGGTCTCTCACTTCGATGGGAATTTGCAACAGTACCCCAACTTTAGAGCAGATGTAATGTGTGCACTGCAACTGCTGAACAAAGACTTTAGAGATGAGCAAGAGAAGGTGGGATTCATCATGTCCCATTTGCATGGAGATGCTAAAGCATGGCTGCGCAATTTGTGGAGAGATAAGGATCCGGCGCTCCAAAATGCGGATGCCTTTATTAAAGCGATGGATGGGTGCTTTTATCAAGCATTGACGTGGATCTTGCTCGGCAGCAGATACATGGACTGAAGCAAGGGAGGGCCAGCGTAAGGCAGTACCATGCCCGCTTTTCGCTTTGGTCAGTGCTCTGGAATGGGACAGAGATTCGGCTCCTGTAAGAGACCTGTTTTGGGAGGGATTGCACGGCTCGGTTAAAGATGAAATTGCGAGGGGAGAGACCCCGGACCACGCAGGAGATCGTTCAGAGGGCGCTGGCGGTGGGGGTGCGGCTGGAAGAACGTCCGTGGAGCAGGGACGAAGGGCGTGGAGGGCGCGAACCAGCCAGGGGCTCCTCCTTCCTTCCCAGAGAAGCAGCGCGTGCGCAATCCACGCCTCCGCCAGGAGGAGGAGCGGAACCTATGGAGGTTGGAGGTGCGAGGGCTCAGTCAGCAGCCAGAGCCCTAGCACCGGCAGCAGTGAAAGCGAAGCCTCCTAGAGGGAACAGGAAGTGTTACATCTGCGATGATCCACAGCATATGGCGAAAGAGTGTCCCCAGAGGCTCCACAAGCACACTGCAGCCTCAGCAATGGTAACTGCAGCAACGCAGCAAGGAGAACCACGGCAGGGAAACGACGGAGTCTGGCTGGAGAAAGAGGCACTGGGGCCCAGCCAGACGTGTCAGTGAAGCAGTCCCCGGAGATTTTACAGCCCATGGACCCCCTCCCGCCCAAACCAGTAGTGAGGCTCACCGCGTCGCTCCAGCTGCCCAATGGCATCACCATGGACGTGCCAATCACCATTGACTCCGGAAGCAATGCGGACTTTATAGGGCAGGACTTTGTCGACCGGCACGCTATACAGTTGCTGCCTGCCACGCTGCCCCTGCAGGTTGTCACGGTGGATGGCAGGGAGCTGCTAGGGGGGCAAGTGGTGAAGCAGACGCCACCAATGGTGATGAGACTTGGGAATCACAGGGAAATCATCAGCTTCAATGTCACTCAACTATCGGACACGCCCATTGTATTGGGCATGAGTTGGCTGGACAAGCACAGCCCGACGCTGGCTTGGTACCAGAGGCAGCTGACCTTCGGCTCTTCCTTTGCGCTGAACACTGCATCGTGCCCCGGCAGGAAGGAGAGGAAGAGGAGTCACAGCTGCAGCTAGGCACGCTGCAAGCGGTTCCCCACAAGTACGCAGCATTTTTGGAGGTTTTCTGTGAGAAGGAGGCAGACAGGCTACCCCCCCACAGACCATATGATTGCAGAATTGACCTGCTGCCGGGGGGCGGCGCTGCCCAAAGGGAAGTTGTATTCCATGTCTGAGGACGAACTGCAGGAACTCAAAGAGTTCATAGATCATAATTTGGAGCGCGGTTTCATCCGAGTCCAAGGCAGCGGGGGGCAGTCCGGTATTCTTTGTTAAGAAGCGGGACACGCCCCAAAAAGACTTGTAGTGGACTATCGCATTTTGAACAGCGTGACCAAGCCATCGGACTTCCCCATGCCCCGAATCGACGACCTCCTCGCAAAGGTACGGAAGGGCAGCGTGTTCACCAAGTTGGACCTGCGAGGGGCGTACAACCTCATTCGCATGCGGGAAGGAGATGAGTGGAAGACAGCCATGTTCACGCCCCTGGGCACCTACGAATATAGAGTTATGCCTTTTGGATTGCAAAATGGTTCCCACGTTTTCAAGCTTTCATGCATCACGTGTTGGCGGGGCTCCTCTACAAGACGTGCGTCTGTTTCTTGGATGACATCCTGATCTTTTCGGAATCGCAGCAGGAGCATGACAGGCACGTCAAGGAAGTGCTGAGCAGGCTACAGCAACATAGGCTTTACGCCAAGCTGGAGAAGTGCCAATTCGACGTGACGGAGGTGGATTTCCTGGGCTACAAGTTGTCTGATAAAGGGCTCGCCATGGACAGCACCAAGGTCCGAGCAGTGTTGGATTGGAAAAGCCCACGCAACCGGAAGGAGGTCCAACGGTTTGTCGGCTTTGCGAACTTCTATCGCAAGTTTATCAAAGGCTTTGCCATGCAGACAGCGGCCATCACGGACACGCTCAGCTCCAAGAAAAAGAAGTTCATCTGGACAGAGCAGGCGGAGCAGTCCTTTCAGGCACTCAAGCCGTCTCTTCGCGTCGGAAGAGCAACTGCTTCATGTCAACCCCAGCAGGCCGATGAGGGTGGAGACAGACGCTTCGGACAGAGCCGTGGGAGCAGTCCTGCTGCAGAAGGACCCGCAGGGGGTTTGGAGGCCGGGAGCGTTTTACTCAAGGAAGCTCAGCAAGTCCGAACAGAACTACACCATCTGGGACAGGGAGTTGCTGGCCATTCATGCAGCGTTCAAAGCGTGGAGGCACTTCCTGATCGGCGCCAAGCACACGGTGCAGGTCTGCACGGACCACAAGAATCTAGAGCACTGGCGCACGGCACAGTTCCTGAACCAGAGGCAGATACGTTGGGCTGAGTTCTTTGCGAATTTCGACTTCCGAATAGAGTATGTCCCGGGGACACCAACATCATGGCGGATGCTCTCTCCCGTAAGCCACAGTATTTGGAGGAGGCAACGCCAGCGGCCGCCATGCACATCTTCGCACCGACAGTGTGGGCGTGCACGGCGGCGACAGTTGACCTGGAGGCGGTGCGACGAGCGTTGCAGGATGACTCCTTCGCGCAAGCAAAGATGGCAGAGGCGCACAGGGGCACGGCAGCGACCGACGAGTTCCAGCTGCGAGATGGTTTGCTCATCCGTAAAGGGGCCATCTACGTGCCGGGAGACGAACTTCGCGCCAAGGTACTGCAGCAGCTGCACGACGCGCCCACTGCCGGGCACTTTGGCAAGGAGAAAACGGTGGAATTAGTAGCCAGAGACTTCTGGTGGCCAGGAATGAGAGGGGAAGTCGCGGACTACGTGGCGAGGTGTGACACCTGCCAGAGGGCCAAACCAGTGCACAGACCGCCGGCCGGACTGCTGGAACCGCTGCAAACTCCGTTCGAACCATGGGAGAGAGTGGCCCTGGACTTTGTCACGGATCTGCCCAGCTCGAGGGGCAAGACGGCTGTGCTGGTGGTGGTGGACTTGTTCTCCAAGATGGCACATTTCATTCCGTGTGCGAAGGTGGCCACGGCGGAACAAACCGCCAAACTGTTCATAGACCACGTGTTCAAGGTTCACGGTCTGCCGCGGTCTATTCTGTCCGACCGAGGGCGACAGTTCATCTCGAACTTCTGGCAGAGGCTGATGGGCTTCCTGAACGTCAAGATCAACCTGGCGTCGGCTAGACACCCGCAGACCAATGGGCAAGCGGAGCGGGTCAATGCCATCATGCAGCAGTACCTGAGATGTTATGCGAATCAACAGCCTGCGACGTGGGTGGATTACCTGCCTCTCGCCGAGTTCGCCTACAACAACACGAAGCACGTGTCCACGGGGGTCACGCCGTTCTTCGCCAACAACGGGAGGCACCCCAGAACCTTCCCGGGACTGGAAAGAATGGGGGAGGGGAGCCGCAGACAGCAGATGCATTCGCGCCGGAGTTGCAGGAGGTCCACGATCAGCTGCGGCGGCACCTGGAGCTGGCTAAACACGCATACAAGGTACAAGCGGACAAACACAGAAGGGTTGGCGAAGAGATCCATGTGGGAGACTGGGTCTGGTTAGCAGCCCACGCAGTGCCGGCCAGGTCGTTGGCGAAGAAGAAACTAGGGCATAAACAACTGGGGCCCTACCAAGTCGAAGAACAGGTCAACCCGGTGGCTTTCAGGCTGGCTCTTCCGGAGGGTTCCAGAATGCATCCAGTGTTCCACAGATCGGTGCTCACTCCCTACAAGGCACCTCACAGGTTTCAGGAACCAGGAACGGCACCGGGTCCGCTCCGAGAGAGAACCGGGCAGGGGGGAGTGGCACGGGAGGAGCGCATCAACGAAGTCACGGAGATTTTGGACTCCAGATGGGGGGAAGAGGGGGTAGAATACCTTCTCGCCAAGGAGGGCACCCCGGCCAGTGCCAACAGCTGGGTGCCGGGCTACGCTTTAGACGAACCTCTGCTCAAAGAAGAGTTTCATGCCCTCTTCCCACATAGGCCAATGCCAGCAGACTTTTTCGACGACTGGCTTTTCACGCCCACGCTTTCAGCCAGCACGTTCCGGGGTTCGACTCGGACGAGGAACCGACACGAGACGCCCGTTCCCCGGAGGGGTCACCCTCAGGATCTGCTTCAGAACCCTCGTATTGGTGGGATGATCGACCAGAGGAGCAGTTCCGTAGAAGGTGGCTGGAGGGTCCAGGACGAGCAACGTCTCCAGAAGGCAACGAGGGAGAGACGGACATGGACTTTTCGGGGACGACCCGGGTTTCGAGCACGGCGGCACAGAGATGGAAGCGGAGGTGACCGTCGTCAACGAGAGCAGGGAGGAAGAACCGGAAGACTTCAGATGGCGGCCCGCCACGGGAAGCGAACTGTATCCGACATTCGTCCCCTGACACGGCAGCACCCAGATCCCGCACCGGAAGGAGGGGGGGGGGAAGAGGGGGCTTCGAGGGGGGGATGGATGTCAGGGGTTCAGGAGCAGAGGCAAGGGCAAGGGAGGAAACAGAGAGCGAGGGGGAGGCAGAAGAAAAGATGAGTGATGACGACGACCCGAGATCTCCGAGTCTTTCCAGTGAATCAGAAGATTCACAGAAAGGAGCACCAGTGGCCAGGGCAAGGGGGGAGCCTAGGGGGACACCCCAGGAAGATAGAGCCAGAGGGGACTCAGAGGGGAGCAGTTGGAAATCGGGACCAACGTCACCGCCAGAGAGCAGGGAAGAGGAAGGGCGCCAGGGATCAAGCGCTGGCAACTCACAACAGGGGGGAGGGCACGAGTCAGGAGTGGCCACACCTCCATCGGGGAGCGAAGAAACGGTCAGACGGAAGGTGGAAGGTTGGGCGCGCGCCCAAGTTCAAATGCACAGGAAGGTGGCGCAGTAGGCAGCCCGGAAAGGGAGCCAGGTCCTAAAGCCCGCCGAAAGGAGGGAGAAGAGTCAGGGGAGTCAGCGTCAGCGTCAGAGGAATCCCGGAAGGAAGAGACCCCGGGGGGGCAGAGGGACCCAGAGAAGAACAGTCAGGCGGAAAAGGTGGAGCAGGGCTAGGATATTAAGTTGGTGTACAAGGGGCGGAGACTCAGACGGAGCTTCGCCGGTCTAAGCATGAGACGTAGAGTTGCACGCAGCAGCTTGAGAATGGAAACTGTAACTCAATAAAGACTTTTGTTTAATGATCGCTGGCTAGCGTGATCCTCTGTGAGCTAGGATCTGGAAGCAGCTCTGACACGTGGTGACGGAGGAATTTAAGATAGAAAAAGGGACACGACAAGGCTGCCCAATCTCCCCATTGCTTTTTATATCGGTCCTGGAGGTCCTGCTGAATATGATTAGAAGGGACCAGTTGGTTAAAGGTATACAAGTCGGAGCTAAACAGTACAAATTGAGAGCATTTGCAGATGACTTAGTATTGACATTACAGGAGCCAGAATCTAGTACTAAAAGGGTTTTGGAATTGATTCAAGAATTTGGTCAGGTTGCAGGATTTAAACTGAATAAGTCAAAAACAAAGGTCTTAGAGAAAAATTTAACAGCGATTGAGAGAGAGAGGTTTCAGAATGAGACAGGTTTAACAGTAGTTAAGAAAGTGAAATACCTGGGGATTAACATGACAGGTAAAAATGGGAATCTATTTAAAGACAATTATGAAAAATGCTGGACTGAAGTGAAAAAAGATTTAGAATTTTGGTCAAATTTGAAGCTTTCACTGCTGGGCCGTATTGCTGCGATAAAAATGAATGTATTGCCTAGAATGTTGTTTCTGTTTCAAACATTGCAAATTTTGGACAAAATGGATTGCTTCAAGAAGTGGCAGAGAGATATCTCTAGATTTGTCTGGCAGGGCAAGAAGCCTAGAATAAAATTTAAAATACTAACGGATGCAAAGGAAAGAGGTGGATTTGCCCTGCCAGACCTTAAACTTTATTATGAATCAGCAGCTTTTTGCTGGCTGAAAGAATGGCTGCTTCTTGAAAACACAGACATTTTGGACTTAGAAGGTTTTAATAATGTATTTGGATGGCATGCATATTTGTGGTATGATAAGGTCAAAGCACATAAAGCATTTAAAAATCATATTGTCAGGAAAGCATTGTTTAATGTTTGGATAAGATATAAAGACCTACTGGAAAATAAAACCCCAAGGTGGCTGTCACCGATGGAAGCGAAAGCTCAGAAAAAGCTCAATATGGAGGCCAAATGGCCGAAATATTGGGAAATTCTGGAACAAGAGGAAGATAGATTGAAACTGCAGAGTTTTGAGAAACTAAGAAACAAAGTGCGAGATTGGCTTCATTACTATCAGATAATGGAGGCATACAATTTGGACAAGAAAATTGGCTTCGAGGTGGAAAAATCAAAATTAGAAACAGAACTGTTAGAACCCAAAACTAAGATTTTGTCAAAGATGTATAACTTGCTGTTGAAATGGAATACTCAGGATGAAATGGTGAAATCTGCTATAATTAAATGGGCACAAGATGTTGGACATAACATAATGATGGCTGACTGGGAACAGTTATGGACCACAGGTATGAAGTTTACGGCATGTAATGCCTTAAGAGAGAATATTATGAAAATGATATACAGGTGGTACATGACCCCAGTCAAGCTTGCAAAAATCTATCACTTGCCCGATAACAAATGTTGGAAATGCAAAGAAACTGAAGGTACATTCTTTCACCTTTGGTGGACATGCCCAAGGATTAAGGCTTTCTGGGAGATGATCTATAATGAAATGAAAAAGGTATATAAATATACCTTCCTGAAGAAACCAGAGGCCTTTCTCCTGGGCATGGTCGGCCAATTGGTGCCAAAGAAGGACAGAACTTTATGTATGCCACAACAGCAGCAAGAATACTTATTGCAAAGTATTAGAAGACACAAGATTTACCCACTCTGGAAGAATGGGAGATGAAGGTGATGGACTATATGGAACTGGCGGAAATGACTGGCAGAATCCGAGACCAGGGAGAAGAGTCGGTGGAAGAAGATTGGAAGAAATTTAAAGACTATTTACAGAAATATTGCAAAATTAATGAATGTTAGAATGATGTCAGAATGAAGTTAAGTGGTTTTAGCAGCAATGTTATAAAGGTGTATGTAAAAATGGATTGTTAACAGGTGAGAATCTAAAGTTATAATATATTAAGTTAAAGGATTAAGACAAAAACAAAGAGGGAAAGGAATTGCTGAATTAACTAATAGAACTGGAATACAAAAAAGGGAGGTGTGAGGAGGTCAGGGAAGCAAGGAAATGAAATGTAAGGCATGGAAGATTGATTTGTTTTTAAGTGTTTTTTAACTTTTTTTGTATTTTGTATTTTTTCTTTTTTTATCTCTTCTTTTTTCTTCTTATCTATGTAATCTTTTTTTTTTGAAACCTTAATAAATATCATTAAAAAAAAAAGTATACCTAAAGTCCTTTGCTTATTAGGGGCTACCCCACATTTTCTTCAGAAAATTGCTTTGCACAGGTAACTACCATAGAGTTAACAAAAAAATTCAAAAGTGGGGGGTCTGTGACTTGGCACTTGAAAAATAGGGGTCCTTTGTAATTAGGTAATTAGGAAACACTGCCCTAAACAACAGTACGAGTTGCAAATGAAGCTTTTCAAGGCTTAAGATGATGCTGAGAGATCAAGCAGATATGCAAAGGGGATTGGTTGAAACAATGGCAACCCCGACCTGTGTCTACTCCAAGCCAAATAACTCCGCATTCCACCTGACTCCACGTTTCACCTCCCCCACCCCCAAATAAATCCTCCCTCCTTTCTTTTGCAGCTACAGTAGTATCTCAGTTTAAGAACAGTCCGGTTCAAGAACGATTTGGTTTACAAACTCTTGCAAAACTGGAAATAGTGTCTTGGTTTGTGAACTTTACTTCGGGCTAAGAACGGAATCTGAATGGTGGAAGGGCACCGGCGGTGGGAGGCCTCATGAGGGAAAGCGTGCCTCGGTTTAAGAACGGTTTTGGTTTAAGAACGGACTTCTGGAACGGATTAAGTTTGTAAACAGGGTACCAATGTAGTTTGAAGAGAAGCAGGAAGAACTTAAAGAGCTGTGCTCCTTTTAAGGAAGACTGTTTTTCTGCATTGTATTTTTCAAGCATGTGGACTGGTTTGCAGAGTGCAGGAAACAGCTAGCAGAGTTCCTTATCACATTGCTGCTGGTGTTCTCAGCGCTGTGTGGGGAACAGGTCTGGTGGCCAAGTGCAAAAGGGACCAGCCCTGTCCCTTCCCCAGTTGTGTAGCAGAGATTTCAGCAGGGGAAGCTTGTTGAAGCCCAAGTGGGGAACTGCTGTGGTGCTCAGGTCCTACTTCTGGGGATTCCATGGGCACCTGGATGGCCATTGTGAGAACACGATGCTGGGACGAGAGAGGCCTTTGGTCTGACCCGGCAGGAGTGCCCTTAAGTGCTAAAGGTGCAGGAGCCCCTGTCCTCCTTTGGGCTTCCCTAGGAACAGGAGGCATCATGCAAGCGATTTTTAAAAGCTGACATTGCAGAGATGTTTTTTAATCTAAAGCATAGCTGGTGAGAAGCCAACCTGAATCTTGCTCTTCCCCCACCTTTTCATTTTTATCATCTATGCCAAACTGCCGTGTTTGCAATATTCTTGGAAATACAAGGCATCTTGGCTGCAGATATGCAGGCATCACAGGGAGGACAGGAGTTGCCAGCCATGTTCAGAAGACGAAGAAAAAGGCAGCTTCATTCTGTAAAAGCTCAGGGACTGCTCCTTGCACATGTTGCATGTGCTGTGCTAGCTTGGTTGGCTTAGCACAAATGTGTGGGCTCTGGGAGAGAAGATGATGACTGCTTCATTTCTTCCAATTGCACACACAATGCTGGTGCTTCTCAGCCACAGGGACTACCATGGTCAAAACGAAAGCATCCTTTATGTTGGGTCTCGGGGGATCGGGGCACTTGAGCATCACTCTCTGCCCTCAAACCAAGTGCTGCATAAATACAAATGTAGGGTGTGCTATTTTTCCAGAATGCCTCCCTTGTTCTCTTATAATGGCAAGGGCACCCACCTGAGAGGTGCTGGAACTGAGTTCCTGCGAGTTCTGGCTGAAAAAAGCCCTGGGCATGATTCAAGAAAGTTCTTGGGTGTGTAGAACAAGGGCCAATCATGTAATGAGACTCCCCACTTTGGTACAGGCCCTGCACTCCCCAGATCTACTCTAGAGGGGGATCCCCAGGAGAGTTTAAGGGGGGCACTCAGGAGGCATGAGGGAGAGAGTAGGAAACTCACTGTGTGAGTGAAACTCACTTTCCATGCACATACCCCACTCAGCACTACATTGAATTTTGGCTGTTATGACTTGATTGCATAGTCAATTGTTACACTTTTGACAAAGCAGATGAAGATTCTGACTATGAGTTGTATCAATGCTCAGAGTAGACAAATTGAAGCTAATGGACCTGGCTACGTTAAGTTCATTAATTTCAGTGTGTCTACTCTAAGTAAGACCAACACTGGATACGGTCCTATGTGTCTGCACCGAACATTGCCCAAGCATTCCTCAGGCAGACCTTCAATGAGCCTTTTAGACATCACTAAGCCCAGAGCAATGTGAGACCCTTATTAAAACCCTAGTTTGGTTTTCACCTTGATACACAGAAATGAGGAGGAAGAATCCTAAGGGTGAGACCTTGACATAGGAGAAGCTGAGAGGATAAGCTGATAACAAGCAGCAGAGAAAGAAAACATAGAGCCGTGATCAGTAACCAACGGCCTGTGGACCAAATGCAGCCTGGTGGGGGTCACCACCTGAATTTCTGGCTCCTAAGCAAGGGAGGGGGAGAAATGTAAGAAGCAGCGGCCGTGGGATTTTCTCTGGTGATGGTGTAGCCTTCCCTCTCTAGTCCGTCCCCAGAGAGAACCAAGGAAGGCTCTGTAGAAAAATGGGTGTTTACTCAGGGTGTCACGCCAGAGTAGATGGTGATGCTCTCGGGGGTGGGAGGTGGGGTTATGGGACTCACAAAGG